AGAGTTCACGTGTTCGTAGCCTTGCTCAGTGAGTTGGTCCTTGGTGAAGTGCTGCACTAGCGCCTCCTCCCATCTCATCATGGCCTCGTCGGCGGCATCCAAGATGAAGTCAACGCGCGCTGCAGTGGCGCTCGTGATGCTGCCGCTGCCGTCACGTGCAATGCCGCCCATGGAGTCGTCGGCGAAGGCTGGGGCACCGTCTGGGAAGTTGGCCTTGTTCACAGCAACCAAGATATCGGCTTGGCTCTGGACCGTCTGATTGAAGTCGGCACTGGTACCGGTCCCAAAGTAGCAGCGGATCCCAGCATTCAAGCAACCGGAGGAAACCCGGAGGCACACATCGGCAAAGCTCTTGCCATCAGCATCAGAGAGTGCTTTCACATCATCAGCCATGCGGAAGATTTCGACCATCGTCTCCGGTCGCAGAATGTTCCCACCATCCTTCGCCGTGACCAAGACGCGATTCACGCGGCCCGCGGAGGTGAAGTACTTCTCAGTCCACTCCAAGTCCTTCATGACCTGTGATCCTTGATCCACCCAAAGATCACGAGCTTCGCTCACAGCCGTGAAACGCAGAACCCCCAGCGCACAAAGCAGGCAGCCCACGACGGTCACTGCAACACACTTCCATGGGTTGCGAGCACAGGATTTCGCCACCCTGCCGAGTCCATGTGCCACAGACTCCTCCGCACGCGAAGTGCAGGCAAGCCAAGCCTGCAGGGGCGACATGGCACCGCTTCCGGAGACGCTTCGAGCCGCAGGCTTTACCTGAGCCAAATGCTCGTAGTTGTGGACGGAGCTAACGTCCCGCCGGAAAGTAAAACAGAGTCAATGATTCTTCCTTCTGGGTCGCTCGCCCAAGTCACTGTCCTCTGAGGACCCGTCGCCGTACTCCCACTGACCCATGTAGACCTGAGGCCATGCAAAAAGCAAACTTTTGGACTGACATATCCAGCAAGCTTGGCATCCACGCGGTGCCGCTTTGCAGGCGCAGCACCCCATGTCCGTGACGAAGGCCTCACAAATTATGAGCTGTTTGCGCTCCGAGTAATTATGATTGTGTGGCGTGTGCTGTTCAACACGACGCAACCGTTCGAGGGTGCAGGGTTCGACTGCTCAGAGCGGCCTTGTTCCACACCGCCCTCAAAGCCGAACCTGCTGCCAAGGCAGAGTCTGGCGCTTAACATGCAAGATTGGAGCTGGCACCTCTTGCGCCGGCAGCAGCCGAAGGCCATGTTGAGAACGGGGGCATGGCCAAGGAGTTGTTCAATGTTCTCGTGGGCGTCGACATGGAGTGCAAACAACGGCTGAAGAGGCCTGAAATCTCCTGCATGAGTGCTCGGAGTCTTTTCGTGTCGTTCTCAGAGAAGGTTCCGTTCATGTGGAACTGCAAGTACACGGCCACACATGTCGAGAGGCCGCGGAGGGATCGATAAAGTAGGAATTGTGTCGCACATTATCCTGTGCAACAGCTGCTAGGCATGTGATGCTGATACGTGGAGCACTAAATAGCACGCAGCCGGCAAAACATCGGTAGCAGTGTGACAGAACTGAAATAACTACAACGTCGTGGTAGGAGTAGTGGTTGACTGTTTTTTCGACTCCGAGATTCCGGTGCCATAGCCTTAATAATAAAAATAACAATAATAATAATAGCAACAACAATAAAAACAATAACCTAAGCAGTCTGAGGAACAGTGCTTCCCTTTTTTGAGTTGTTCGGGCTTAGTTGTGAATTGCACCCGTGCCGTCCCAAAAGCCGGGAACCCTGTAAACCAGCTTGCTTGCTCCTTTGAACCATACCCCAAGACAAAGCCCTTACTAACCTTCAACCCTAAACCTAAATCTCTCTAAACCAATAAACCCTAAGCCATGGCACTTAGCCTTCAACCCCTGATCTTAAATCTTCGTCACTAGACCCGCAGTAAAACGGCGGATAGATGTGTCGAACGACTCTAGGGATTCCTCGCACCCCTAACGCTCAGGGTTTTGGGGTTTAGGGTTTCGGGTTTAGGGTTTAGGGCACGGCTCTCCAGGGACCTCCAGATCCTGAGCTTTGCGATCCTGCCTTTTAACAGTTTGAACTTCAAGAGCAGTCCCAAGGGGTCCTACGGTGGATGATATAAATCCTGCATTACCCATAATATATAAGGAATGTACCATAATTCCCATAGTTTAGGGTCCTTAAGGTCATGCAGGATTTAATATCATCAACAGTAGGTACTGATTGGGGGATGCTTCCCCAAATCAGAGTAGTATTTCCTAACAATAGACACCCTACATTCTACCACATAGGACTATCAGAAACCCTACATTCTACGCATGAGCCTAGAAGACTACAGGAAACCCTACTGGGCTCTTGTCGTCACCACAGCCGCCGCGGGGCTGGGATGAAAGTCCGGGGCCTCTTTTCTTTGAGCAGTCCCGGGACTTTCTGCTTGCTCATCGCGAATAACAGTGAATAACGGTCGGGCTTGCTGGTCTGCATGCATTTGCCGGCTGTGTCGAGTGCAGTCGCATCTTTCTTGCGCTCCAGGGTTGCATAATCATTTCGATGGCCAGCTAACTTCGAGCCGCTGGAGCAATTCAGTACATCTGGCGGCGCACCTTCGGGGCAGTTCATCACTCGTGCCAATATTTCAGAGCAGTGCAGAGTGCAGAATGCATGTAAGAATCCCAGCTTACCAAGCGTGAGGACCTCTGCCTGCATCAGCGTTCGAACGCGGATACCGACAAGTGCCTGTCCGACAGAACTGTGACCACTCCACTCTAATCGATGTACACCAGCAAGAACTTGCCACTGGATTTTTCAGGTCGGCAAGTACCCCAACATGGGGCACGGACAAGCACACTTGAACCTCCGGTTCTCTGGGTTGGGTGGCTCGGTGGCCACCTGGGAGCGGGCAGGCACAGGTGACCCGGCAGCCGCAGGCGAGCAGCTAATCATCCGGGCGGTTCCCATGTAGGGCAACAAAAGCCATCCAAGGATCAAGGCCAAACAACTCTAGGCGAACAAATCTGAGCTTGGCATGTTAGACACAGACCATGCTTTCGCGGCGTAGCTCATACATTCCGGGGGCTGACATCCAAACACGGTTCTCTTTCGGGCTCCACGCGCAACAGCGATCTGCTAGTCAATACCTGCAGATTCTGCCAACGTAAAGACCAGCTCTCGCCTAACCGGCACGAGCTACTGATGAAACACAATCCAAGGGAGAGGGCTGAACACCCTTCCGCCCCCGGAGCATGTGACAACGTACGGCATGCGGCATAAATATAATTAACTTGCGCAGCTGTTCAACCAGACCATGTTAGGGGTGCACCCTAATCATGGTAGGCTGCACACAAAAACTCACCATGACTCACCTTTCCCAGCCCTGAGGACAGGCTTTGTTTTTTGCCGGGAAGGTGAATCGAAAACATGGAGAGTACAAGATAATTAACTTGTGCAGCTGTTCAACCATGTTAGGGATGCACCCTAATCATGGTAAGCTGCACACAAAACCTCACCATGACTCACCTTTCCCAGCCCTGAGGACAGGCTTTGATTTCTGCCAGGAAGGTGACTCGAAAACATGGCGAGTTCAAGTTCTTTCTGGAAGAGTCAAGGGACAGGCAGCTCGTTTTACGTGCGACTGTCCAGGACACAAGTCCTCGCTTAGCGGTGACAATAAAGTAGAGAAAACAACCTTGCGACTCATTCCGTCTCAACCTTGGCCACCTTGCCAACAGCAGCCTCTGCGTCTGTCTCCAGATTGGTAGTCTTGGTCACGCTTGGCCCG